ACCTGCCTCTTGGTGCATTTTTGCCTGTATAGTGGTATTTTCAGCCCATGTTTCTCTATTTATTCACATATTTTATCTAGTGTTGTGCTCTCTACTATGGGAAGAGAAGGGAAAGAGGTATGGAATGTGTGGAAGCAAATAGGGGATTCCTATTTATTGAGCTCCTGCTGTGTACCAACTTCATATAAGATACATATTCCCTCACTTAGTCCTCATAATCTTTATAAGTTAGACATCTGTATTATCTTGTTACATTGAAGAACCAGAAATCATTAAGTTCTCAAAGTCAAAGCAAATAACTAGCTGTCTGTTCTAGTTGCCAAGAGCTTTACTATATGCTCTCAAGGTTGTGAGCTTGGTATGGATATAATCGTAGGTGTGTGAAAGGTAACAGGATATAATAGATGTGAAATATCCTCTGAATGTTAGGCATGGGGTGTTGTTGAACCTCAAAGCATGGGAAGACTATAGAAGGCTGAAGTGTCAGATAAGATATTCCAGAGGAGGAAAAGGATGACCAATGTAGTGAAAGAAGTGTCAGAGTATCTACAGACAGATAAAAAAGCAAAGAATGTGAGGTGGTTTGGGTTTCAAATGAACTCAGAAGGGAGCCAGCTTCTTGAAGCCAATGGCTATATCTATACATTATCACATTTGCAAGCATCATCGCTCTGGTAGAGTCAATGATCAATAAATGACTAAGGCTGTGATTGTCATATCTGTTCTGAAGCACTTGATTGAATCATGTAGAAACTGGGCATTTTTATGACATATAATTAATATACCTTTGTCTAAGACTCATTTCTCAAGATTTTCTTGGTATAAATAAGAGGGCTATAGATGTGATTTTATTAAATAAGATCAGAGCCTTAAAAGAGAAAGGCTGGTGGGCAGACACAAAAGATTCACAGGGAGACACCTCTATGGTGTGTATGGCATATCATATTGGCACATTCTGACACCCAGTCTTATCATTGTCTCAGAAATGACTACACTTAGTGTTGCTGAGTCATGCAACTGAAATTTATGAGAAGTTGCAGAGCATATTCAAAATATATGTTTATGACTTAGATTAAAAAAAACATATAACCAACATTATTATCATATTTGTTTTGTTTTGTTTGTTTGTTTTGCATAGACTGGTGCCTTCTTTCCTTACAAACAACACATAGAAAGTTCTAGTATGAAAATGTTGTTTGGTACATATGGAAAACAAACCGACAAATAGGGGAGGCATATAGTTTGCCAAAACTATCACCTCCACAATCATTCAAGTTCACAGAATCTTTTAAATAAGAAAAACAATCTGAGCACTGTACATCTTATTTAGTCTTCATTACAGCCTTACAAAATGGTATTACTTGTATCTTTACCATACAGATTAGGAAACAAGATATTGGGCAACTTGACCTATTCTCTGAACTCTAGAATCTTGACTTTAGATATCTAAGCTCTTAATTTTTATGCCATAATATTGAAATGTATCATGAAGTAGCTAGACATTCAGAATAACAGGAACAAACAGGTAGACACTGTTCTTTTCTAAGTGGAACTTAGAGTAATGAAAAAAGGCAGACAAGATACTCTCCAGATATTCATTCACATTCAATTAGACACTTAAATATTTAACTATAATTGTGATGAATCTTCCTAAAAGAAGTGCTCCCTTGGGTAGACATCTCTGAGCACATAACATTTCTGTTGAGATCTGGTAATGTCTACAGGGAACTAGTGCAGATGGCAAGAAACCAGGCTTAATGAAGAAAATTAAGAAAACAGAGTGAGTCAGGGAAAGTGGGGCAACATGAACTCAAAAGAAATAGGCAGAGCATTGTTTTTAGGCCTTCCTAACCACATTGAAGGACTTAAATCTCAAGAGTGCTTAAAACACAATCAGATATTGTCTATCTCATTCCACTGCCTCTCCTGCTCCACCACCCTCCTTTCCCCTCCCTCCCCTTTGCTCTATCCAGAGTTCATCTAATCCTCCCATGCCTGCCCCCCCACCCCCACATTATGAATCAGCATCCTTAAATCAGAGAAAATATTCTGCATTTGTTTTTTGGGGATTGGCTAACTTCACTTAGCATTATATTCTCCAATTCCATCCATTTACCGCAAATGCCATGATTTTGCTCTCTTTTATTGCTGAGTAATATTCCATTATGTATATATACACCACGTTTTCTTTATCCATTCATCTACTGAAGGGCATCTAGGTTGGATCCAAAGTTTAGCTATTGTGAATTGTGCTGCCATAAATATTGATGTGGCTATGTCCTTGTAGTATGCTATTTTTAAGTCCTTTAGGCATAGACTGGGGAGTGGGATAGCTAGGTCAAATGGTGGTACCCATTCCCAGTTTTCCAAGGATTCTCCATACTGCTTTCCCTATTGGCTGCACCAATTTGCAGTCCTACCAGCAATGTATGAGTGTGCCTTTTCCCCCACATCCTTGCCAACACTTATTGTTGTTGTATTCTTATTAGCTGACTAGGGTGAAATTCTGACCGGGGTGAAATGAAATCTTAGAGTACTTTTGATTTGCATTTCTCTAATTGCTAGAGATGTTGAACATTTTTTCATATATTTGTTGATTGATTGTATATCATCTTCTGAGAAGTGTCTGTTCAGTTCCTTGGCCCATTTATTGATTGGGTTATTTGTTTTTGTTTATTTGTTTTTTTGGTGTTAAGATTTTTGAGTTGGTGTGACTATGTTGTGTACAACCAGAGATATGAAAATTGTGCTCTACATGTGTAATATGAGTTGAAATATATTCTGCTGTCATATATAACAAATTAGAATAAATTTTTTAAAAGAAATAAAACAGATAAGTAATTTTTAAAAGACACAATCAGATGTGCAATTAAACATAATGACAATGGCTGCAACATGGAGAATGACTGCGGAGGGCACAGGGAGTAGTGAGGAGTTTGGGATGGTCCTGGCAGGGAGAAAGGCAGCCCAGGTTATTGCGTGGCTATCTGAAAACACAAAACTACCCAAAGACAAATATTTCTCAGGTCTATACAAGGGACTCCATCCTCTTTTATGGACAATCTGTAGATTTGTGCTGACATCCATGGTCTCAAAGCAAGACCTTCAAGAAAGCTGTTTTTTCTGTAGAGCCATTATTGCACCTTCGATCAACACTCTCAAAGAATTAGATCCAGAAAATTTCCAAATGCATAAATGTTGACATAATCATATTAGTCACCCTTTATCAGGAAACATTAAATTATTTAAAAACCACATAATAATTTAGCATTTGTTTGAATGGGTCAATATAACGAGCTATCTTTTTGTAACAGTAGAGGGTATTGTTTTTGATACAGGGTTATAGCTAAGAATTTGTGTAAATGCTTTTTATTTGGGGGGGATTAAGACTCAAATCTCCATCCTCGCACAGCATAAAAAAATAAATAAAATAAAGATATTGTGTCCAACTACAACTAAAAAATAAATATTAAAAAAAAGACTCAAATCTCAGTTGGAGAGTAGAAGCCAAGCACTTGAAAATATGTATTAATGACTCAGAGAGAAGGAAACTTGGTAGGCAGACATTCAAATCATGTTAAACATACAATATGAAATAAATATTTAGGGTGAATACTATATAAAAAATGAGAATCTGGTTAAAGAAATGTTTGAGGGAGAAAGAAAAAAATGAGCATAAGACTTATTGTTCAGAGCTATACTAATGTAGCCAAGTACTTAAAATGTGGCTAATTCAAATTGAGATGTGTAAAAATGTAACACACACACACACACACACACACGCACGCACCAGATTTCAAAGACTGAGGGTGAAAAAAGAATGGAAGGTATCTCATTAATAATAATATTGATTACACATCAAAATGATGGTTTTTATATATTGATTTAAACAAATTTAATAATTTCATAAAATTATAAAAAGTCATAAAAATTATATAAAATTTTATTTTATATAAATTATAAATTTTTAATAATTTAAAATGTATCAAATTATATTGGTTTAAATAAATCATTAGAATTTATTTCACCTATTTCTTTAGATTTTTTTAAAAATGTGATTAATTAAAAACTTAAATTACATATGTAGTTCACATTGGAAATTCTCTTCTAAAACTTCTGATTATTCATAGAAAACTTGAATAATTCTGCAATGTATGCAGAAGTGAGGGAATACAGATTGTATGAAAGATGTTAGATTTTGCTGTAGCAAATTACCAGTTTGAGGGTAATTTGGAGGCTGCATTGGGGGGAAAAAAACCTGCTATCAAGTTTCAATTTTTTATTGAATTAGTATGCTATACAATCTATGAATAATAAAGTACCTACTTTAGTTCAAACATACAGCAAAATTGAGTTTTTCCCGTAAATTTTATGTCCCCTCTAAAATTTGCTAGATACTGTTAAGAACATTTTCCTTTGAAACACTTAGCAGAGCAATCCAGGAGAATTCATAGTCAAGCATCTCAAAGTAAAACTGACAGAGGAAGTACTCAATTCTTCAGTCACTAGGCTACATTCTCTGGACTTCTAGATCAATCCATCCATTCATTGCTTTAATGGTGATGTTGATGGGAAGGGGGAAATGAAATCAAAATCCTCTGGCACTAAAAACCACTTACTTATTTTCAGGGATGCTGGTGAGATTTGAAAGTGATTTATCAGTAATTGAACAAAAAGAGAATATGCACTCAGGATAGATATAGGTGTATATTTCAAAAGAGTCAGTGTTACCTCTTTGTACATTCCAGTCACAATTTCATTTACCCATAAAATTGGATGACACCATATCTAAAACTAGATCCAACTTGAATTCCTGGCTAAGTGTCCTGTGTGTTTTTTAAAAAAGAATCTCCATTTGAATGTACCTCCTACGGAAATAATTCAAATGCAAAATGAGCTGTAGAAAATACCACACTTAAGTGGTGCACATTAGGCAAGCAGGGAGGCAGGTAAACCTGCTTGGAGGAGTAGATGGTATAATTTCCCCCCTTCAATGGTATGGCCCTTCCTCTTTGTTCTCACAAAGCTGTGACCTTTCCATAAATACAATCCCGATCCTGCCATTTCAGACATGGATGTCATCAAGGGCAGCCACCAGCATTTTGGGTAAAAACTTTTCTTTAAATGTAAGTTATTTTCCTTTGGCCATTTTGTATTGGGATGGGTATATGTTCAACTAATTTATTATGGTCTCTTCAGAAACCTTTAATACTTTATTTATTTATGATCAATCTATCTTTTTGCCATTTCTCCTGTCTCTTTATCATCACTATGCTGTTTTTTAAGATGGGTGTAGTTTAGTGGTCCTTAAATGAAGATTTATTGTCACCAACACTAAAGAAAACATGTTCCAATCTAACAGGGAATCTCAAAAGCAACACTTTCTTATAGATATCATGAATATTGCTTTATGGGTAAGGAAATAAAATTTTAACATGTAAATTAAAAGTATTTTCCCACAGTCAGAATGTGCTAATAAATCATTTTATACCCTCCCCCCATCTCTCTCTCATGGTTCTGTTGAACCCTATTTTAATTTTAGGGTGCAGAATGAGTTAATCATCTCAGGGGGGCAAGAGGTAAATTCCAGGCTCCCATTCCTGCAGAGTCTTACTCTAGGGCAAAATTTGTCTCAAAGGTATAAACTTTCAAATTACTTATATTTTTCAAATTCTTATTATTTTCTATTTTGTTGTTTATTGCCTAAGTCTTTAGACTTGGAATTATATTTAAGGGGAAATTATGCACCCCTTAAAACATAGTTGAATTTTTTTATCAAAGACTGAATGAGTATCAAGTGGTGTGTTAATTTTTCCCTGTTTCAACATGCTGAGATCTTCCTTTTGCTCCACATTTATTTAAGTAGCACAGAATTTCCTACTTAACTGAAACAGATCTTAGGATTTGGAGGAACACTGACCCTACCTTTGTTTCTGAAAGAATTTGACAATGAGTTCAAATGAATAGAAGTGAAACTCGTGTATCATGCTGAGTGGCAACTTAATTTTCCCTATCCTTCATGCTGTGATAAAAGAGACTGAGTTCATGTTTAGTCTCTATAGGTATAAAAAGTGAAGTAGAAAATTGAGCACATGTGCCTCCATTATGTGATATTTCATGTAGAGTTTAAAGATAAATTGTCTTCATTATTCTCTCAGGCTTCCATTCCTACCTCTTTTAAAGCAGTAGTTAAATGGTTTCTGGGTCAGCTAGCACAGCAGTTACTGCCAAAGTTGACAATAGGCCAAATACATTTAACATGTGAGTCACTTTCCTCTGCCACATTGCTAGCTCCAAACTCCTCTGGTCTCAAGCATCACCAAACAAATTGCTTCATCTTCTTTGTCGAGTGACAATCATGCATATCCTTGCGAACTTCATGGTTGACACTATATTTTCACATACTTTGCTTCATTGGATTCTTACTGTTAGACTATGGAGTTTGAGGGGTGATACTATTATTTCTGATTTTGTCCATTAGAATCCTGATCTACTTCCCCGTTCCATGCACTGGTTTGAAAATGTTACTGAACACTCCCCACAAGGACAGTGGAAATATGAATGATTCAGCCAAAGTGGTTACTTGGCATTATGTAGACCACAATTTCCCAATATGCAAACTGTATCATGATACTGTGTGTGCCAAGGAGACGCCTTGGGTGAGGCACAGTCCAAGTTTTCCTCATTTCCACAAGCTTCCTGTTTCTCATCTCTCTAGTTTCTAACAGTTACTGCAACCATATCTTACTCTTCAGCCTGATGTCAAAAGCAAAAATTCAGAAGTTCCTCATCAATCAGGAGTCCTTGGGAGCAGGTGAAGCTCACCTAAGTAGGTAAGATGGAGATTTTATCACAACTGGGAGGCCAGATGGCAATGGCTCTCAGATGCAAGAGCTCTGAGGAGAGGCTGCCTGCCTACCCAGCCTAGACCTGTCACCGGCTTGTTCTGTATTCTTGACTAGGAATTAAATCTCTCCAAGCTTTTGTTTTGTTTTGTTTTAATTGATAAAATGGAGAGTATTGGTACCAGCTTCATGGAGATTTTCTAGCTTTAACTTATGAAGCACCGAGGACAATGCCTAGCATAAGGTAAGCACTTACCATTAGCTACTAATAGTTTCAAAGCAGTGTTTAGATTATATAACATTTACAGATATAAAATCATCTGCATCTAGGTAGCAAATGTATGAAAAGCTATTTTGCTTCAAAAGTAAACTGTAATTTTTATAAGTCAGACATGGTTTTGTTACAGTAAAAGCTCTCTGGTATTAGTCATTGGCTTATTCTTAGAAAAAAAAAATAATGAAAACATTTATTAAGGACTTACACTGCACTGGGTGTGTTATATATATTATGTCACTTAGCCCTCCCTATAACACTATGAAATAGGTGATATTATTATTTTTATGATATTGACAAACAAAAAGACAAAGCTATAAAATAACTTGCCCAAGGTCAAAAATCTTGTTTGTGGTGAGGCTGAATTTCAAGTTCAGGCCAATTGACTGCAACACACTCAGATGATGAGCAAGCTCCTCTCTTACTGGTGTCAGCCTGCTTTTGAAACTGCTTTTGAACCATGGCAAGAAAGTGACGTACACATGGACATGTGCAAGATTATTCCTCTGGATGTCCACATATGATATAGTCACAGCATGAGAAGCTCATCATAGCTTGTTTGTTGGCAAAAGCTTCATCAATTCAAGGTTCTTGGTTGCTTTGTGGGATTCTGGTCTACCCTAGAGACACCTCTACTTTCACTGTGCTGTGATGTGGAAACTTGTCCTATAAATCATTAGGAATTCAGGCACTTCACAGATGAACAATGACTTAAAATAAATTTTAAAAAAATGATTAAAATAAGAGCAAATAAAAAGCCTCTGTGCTAAATTGAATTCATTCCCTTTTAAGAACTGGACTATGTCAAGACAGTTTCTATGTGCAAAAGTAGATTAATAGTGCTCTGAGTTAGTTCTTTTTATCTGTTGTCTTCCAAACACTATCAATGTTCCCAGGATCTTACTCCAGTTTCCATTAGGGCACTGTTTTTATTTCACAAGTCAAGATTGATGGGTGAAATAAATCTGTGAATGTTAAATGTTTTCTGCCAGGCATTCCTGTGATGTGGCTGTTTTTAACAATAGTTTGTTTGATTTGTGGAACATTAAATGCTGGTGGATTCTTGAATTTGGAAAATGAAGTGAATCCTGAAGTGTGGATGAACACTGTAAGTCAAGATGAATTCCAAAGAACATCAAATAAAGCAGGATTAGTGGGTAGTGGGAAAAATCTCTGATAAGAAAAACAGGTGGATGGTTTTTAACCACTCTAGAAGGGTCAAGCTAGGTAGATCTGCTCCTTCAGTTGAATAATTAATATTTTCTACCAGTAATACAAAGCAGAATTTTATTGTATTATATACACCAACTCTTGTTCTGAATGTATACTTTAAGAATATTAAGCCATTTGGGTGATGTATGAGACTGCCTTCTATTAGTCTATAGTTTTACCATTTTTAAACCTAGAGAGGTCTCTAGTGACAAGTGACTGGAAAATATAGCTTTGTGAGAAAGAATGTGTCAATGATGAATATCATCCCCCTCAAAATTTGCCTACACTAGATATTATCTAACATTCTACTTGTTTCTTTTGTTTTGCATTGTTTTTATTATTTTTAGTTTTTTAGGTACTGAGTATTTAACCCAGGTGTGCTCTACCCGTGAGCCACATCCCCAGCCCCTTTTATTTTATTATTTTACTTTATTTCATTTTTTTGTCAGGGTCTCACTAAGTTGTTCAAATTGGCCTTGAATTTATAATCCTCCTACCTTAACCTCCCAAGTAGCTGGAATTACAGGAGGATGCCACCACACCTGACTATTTTTATTAAGATTTTAAGTGGGTAGATTAATTTTATGGTTACTTGTGGCTGAAGATTTTACACACTCCACCCCAATAAGATGCACTAGGTGCTTTGTTCTAGTTCCTTTTGATGTCATTCAGAGAAGAAGTTTAGTGGATGGCTGTCTTTTCCCTGGGCAGAGTGAAATCATCACCTACAATGGCTACCCCAGCGAAGAGTATGAAGTCACCACTGCAGATGGGTACATACTCAGCATCAACAGGATTCCCTGTGGAAGACGGCATGCTAGGAGCACAGGTACAAGATACGCGTCTGCTGAGAAGGAACTGCATGTGACTGAAATGTAAAGCTGGATATTCATAAAGAGAGTACTTTATCAAAATTTGTTTGAATTATTGGGGTGGTCTCTAAAAAAAGACTCATTCTTTTGCCTCTAATTCTTCAAAAACAGATAAAAGCCTAAAAATACCAAAGGCATGACCGATCCTACTCAGAAACACTGGGGTTGTTTCTTAGGGTGGAAATGCCAAGGTGGAGCCTACATTTTGTTAGGTCATTCCTGGTTCCTCATATGTCCCAGGATATTGGATTTCCTCATTGTTGGAAGAGGTTTTTCTGGGTGGAAAGAAATTGACTCCAGTGGGGTACCCAGACAAGCTTCCTTTGCTCCCACTAAGATCCATGATCCATTCTCTGCAGAGTAAAACATCAAGTTAAATGACAGTGGCACTTCTGGGAACTTTTTCCAGGAAGGATAACCAATATTCACATGCCCCTTGGCCTAAGGGACGGTTTATGAAAGGGAACAGCCTGGTGTTGTAAAATGAGGCCTGAATTGTAGAATGAGGAGCCAAGCATGCAGAAGCCTGGGATAGTGCTTCTTAAAAATGAACTATAACTGCACAGGCTTTCAGAAGGGAAAAATGAGAGTAAGCAAAATACGTGCAAAGACTCAAAGGCAAGTCACTTATTGGCAGATGCTTACCATTACTGTTGGTTCTGCATGGTTTCCCCCATCACCACTTTTAAGTGACAGCTAAAATCACTTTGTTTGACACTCTAAGAAAAAATAATTTATAATAAATATGTAAAACTAATTGATAATTAATAAATAATACTGAATAAATAAATTCAAGAATTTCAGAATGAAAAAGGGGAGTGGGATATAGATAGTTCTCCCAGATAAAGTAAGGGATTTCCAGTTAGATTTGAAAGCAGAATAAGCAACAAATAGGTTTTTTTGAATTTCCACTTTAGGCTGTGCTTGTACTAAAGAAATTATTTGTTGTTATCATGATTTCAAATTTAATAGTGCATCCTGCATCTCTTTGTTTACTTTGGGGTTTGTCTTTTACTAAATCTGGGCAATAACAGGCTTGAGGGCAAGGAAACTATGAAATAAAAAAGGAGGAAAAATCTTATAGAAAAAAGTTTGCTTAAGGACAGAGAATTTTGGAAACATTTGTAGCTAAAAACCATTTATTTTCTGTGTTATTCTAAATAATTTAAATCAGTTAAAACCTCCAGCAACCCAGTAGTCACCATCTTACAGATGATGAAACGGAGGCACCACAGATTATGTAACAAGCCCATAGTCACACAAATAACCAAGACACAGAACCAGAATTCCAGGCAGCCACTGAATTAAGGTTACTGTTCTGCATTGTTCGCCCTGGTTCTTCCTGCAAACTTTCCCTTATGAATTTGGGAGTTGAAAGAAGGATAAGCTAATTTTACTTATTAATTATTAATTATTTCAATATAAAAACTACTGTTGTAGTTTGCCAATGTTCTCCAGTGAGCAGAGGCTGGAGTTTGAGATAGACTTGGTGAGGAACTTACAAGTGCTCATTTATGCTTACCTCCTCTTCCTCCCTGGAAGAGACGTAGGGATCCATTAAGCATGATAAATTGTGCATCTTTATAAGCCACGTGCAGAACCTATGTTTACAGAGGCTTCTCAACTTAGCATGGGATTATGTACTGATAAAATCAACCAAAAATTTAAGGTAGCATAAGAAAAAGTGAATTAAATACACCTGACCTACTGAACACCATAGCTTCACGACACAGTGCACTGTGTAGTATGGATCATTTATCCACATGATCACATGCCTGTCTGGGAGCTGATGGTCATTGCCATCATTGACCAGCATCTTCAGAGTATTATATAATATATTGCTGGCCTAGAAAAAGATCAAAATTCAAAATTTGAAGTATGATTTATATTGAATACATATCAGTTTTGCACATGGGAAGGCTGAAAACAGTAAGTCAAGCCGTCATAAATTGGTGACCATTTGTAAATGAACACATAAAAACAGAGCAGTTACAATTCTCTGTTGGAATGAGACAGAATCGGGTTTGTCTCTTCTCTGTACTTTTGTTTGTTGAAAGACCTGCTGGGAAAATCACTTATCTTCCCTAAGCCTTGTTTTCCACATCTTTAAAACAGCAACTACTTTCAAAAGTTATTATAAGAGTTTAATAAGCTAATTCCTGTAAATCATTCTACCTAGCTCCAGGTACAAAGTTTGTGCTCAAGAAATTGAAGTTATATGATTATAATTCTCTGCACTAATGATAGGGAGAAAAGCATATTCTGTTTATGTCTTCTATTCTTGGCATGTATTTGTGTGTGGTGTGTGTTGCTATCATGTTTGGACATACTTTATTTATCACAGATTCTTCTTGATTTCTGTCTTTGTACCACCGTCACAGGTCCCCGGCCAGTTGTGTACTTGCAGCATGCCCTGTTTTCAGACACTGCCTACTGGCTTGAGAATTATGCCAATGGAAGCCTTGGATTCCTTCTAGCAGATGCAGGTTACGACGTATGGATGGGAAATAGTCGGGGGAACACTTGGTCAAGAAGACACAAAACACTCTCAGAAAATGAAGAGAAATTCTGGGCCTTTAGGTAAACTATATCTAAGAAAAACAAGTTGGAGGCAATTTCTTGAAATATATAATAGTATGGATGGTATTAATAATAGTCTATAATACTTGAAGTCATGAAGCTCCTCATCATTTCTACTGACATCTTAAATTGTAAGAATCTTTCATTTTGACTGATTCTCCCACAGGCAAATTGTGCCAGTTAAACAAGATCATCTGACATTCCAATTCAATCTGACTATACTTTATAAATATGCTCAAGGGACAACTCAGAATATTCCTATGACCCATGCATGCATTCATTCAACCAATATTTATGAAGTGCCTGCTGTATGCACTATCTTATGCCCTGAGCATTCAAATCTATTCAGATCAAATCCCTGGCCTCATGAAGCTTTTATTTATTCTAATGGCATTTTTATAAATCTTTTCCTAGACAGCCAATCAATTTTGCAAAGATGATGTGTATTAATACTGTATTTATTTTAAAAACACTGTTCTGAGACTGAACAGAATACAATTTTCAGGAAAATTTCAATATAAAATTTTCAAAACAGTATTAATGGGCAATGAGAATATTTTAATATGTTGTCTGTTTCTTTTAATGGAAGTGTTTCTCTGCTACCAGATGATAAGCTGGTGCCTACAATAGCTTGCCCTTCCTCAAACTTAAGCTCCCTATTGGTTTGCTGCTAGAATAGACCATGCGTTCCTATATTCTTGAATATTAATGAAATATTAAGCACCCAGTGACAGGCTGAGAGGAGAAGGAGGATAGAATAAATTGTTAGGGCTAGAGCTCTGTGGAAGGTGCTAGTCAGGAAGCATTTCATGTCACCAAGTCCTTGACTGGGAGCTTGGCGGTAAATGCACTTGAAGGCATTACAAAATTCCACTTATACTTGGTAGTGTCAATTTAGAGATCTCCTCCTATATGCTTTTAATAAGCAGGTCTCTAGCTCTTGGTATACCTGACAATATAACAGGCCTTTTCATTAATGCTGGTTGGACTGGTACTATAGAACTTTTGTATATATTGAATATATAGAAAGAAGTACTAATAATAGCAACATCTGATCAAGTGCCTACCAATAGTCAGGTCATTTCTTTCACACTATGCAACGCGTAGAGCAGCCCTGGAAACCAGGACCTATCCTGTTCATTTCTCAAATGAGGAAGTTTAGGCTCAGGGCATTTCAGGAACTTATCAAAAGTGACTCAGCTAGTGAATGATAGGACCATAACTGAAAACAGTCCTGTTTCCAAAAGTGAGTATTACATAGCCCTAGGAGTCTTGAATCCCATGGGATTGTCAGAAGCAGAGACATGCAAACTATATGGGGAAAGGGAAGAGAAAGAAAAGCAAGAGAATAGAATGAAGAATAAGACTGAACTTTAGATAGCATCCCCAAGTCTTACAAGCACTTTTGTTATTAGGAAGTGACCTGTAAATCAAGACAAAAGCTACAATGGTCTATACTTAATTGGGTAAGTAATGAGATATCCACTGACTAAGTAGACAGCATAGAATTCTGGGTGGGAAAGTGTCTGAGTTTTAAACTTACAGTTTCAAGTATTTATAAGGCCTTGTTTTATTTTGCAGTTTTGATGAAATGGCCAAATACGACCTCCCAGGAATAATAGATTTCATTGTGAATAAAACTGGTCAGGAAAAGTTGTATTTCATTGGACATTCACTCGGCACTACCATAGGTATGCTAACAAAGGCCGGTGTTATTAGAATCTTATGGGAATATGCCTTTAAACTGGAATAGAGTAACTGCTATTCATAGTGCCCTTACTACTCTGTCCTGTGCTGGGAACAACCCTCACGCTCTGAGTGGCTATGAACCTCCAGTCCAGAGACAGGCAGCATATCCAGCAAACTTTTCCTCAATTTTGGGTCGTAGCCACACATCTGTAATGATGTTGTAATTTTCCACAAATAATCACGTGCCCCCAATCCAGTGAGGAAATTCTAAAGAATAAGTTTCTAGATTTCTTCTGAGCTGAAAAACTGAAGCATAGTATCATGAAATATCTCTGAGAAATGATAAATATAAACCAATGGGGTCTTCCTTACAACCCAGATTGGATTGAAATAAAATAAAAGGGAGAGGATCATATTTAATTTAAACAAGTTTAAAAGATAAGGTCTCATTTGTTTGTGGATTGGACACAAAAGCTTATTGTGATAAATTAACTGAGCTAATATGCTCAGCATATTATCTAATATTCATCTAATAACAAATGTAAACAGTATAGATATTTATAATTTAAAAAATCACCTTCTTTTAAAAAATGTATACCTTAATGATTGTCAAGATTTTTTGGAAAGAAATCAGTAATCTAGTTCCAAGTAAAAGTTTAAAAGAGGTAAGCATGGTGGCACATGCCTCTAATCCCAGTGGCTTGGGGGACTGAGGCAGGAGGATCATGAGTTCAAAGCCAGCCTCAACAAAAGTGAGGCTCATTAAGACCTTGTCTCTAAATAAAATACAAAATAGAGCTGGGGATGTGGCTCAGTGGTTGCATACCCCCGAATTCATCCCGGGTACCCATCAAAAAAAAAATTTTAAGGAAACTACTAATAAAAATTTGAATTTGTTATTGATCTTCCATTAAAGTTTCTAATTTTAAGATAATAACTTTTTGTGGAAAATGCACAATTTGGGTAAAACTATGCAAGAAACAATAAATCTTGTTACCATATTTCCACAACCACCACCATCAACATCAATAATAAACAGATACAGAGCATTACTTTATAATGATAGTTTACAAGCTTGAAACAGGCAGGGAGATCAGAGCACACAGACCAAAAGAATATAAAAGGACTACTATGAGAGTCCAAGAAATGCTACTGAGAGGAGAATAATTTTACCATAATTTCGAGTGCATATTGAGCACTGATTATGTTTAAGACCTTATGTCCAGTGCTTTTTCTCCCTCTAATCTTGTGAACAACTCTACTGTTATTATCTCCATTTCGTACAAGAGGAAACAGATGTTCAGAGAAATTGAGTTTCCTAAGGTCTCTGAGCACATAGAGACAGAACATAGATTCAAACCAAGTCAGTCGGCCTTCACCAACAGAGGGTCTGGGCACTGTGGAAAGAAGGACAGTACAGAGGAGAATGACTTGGGTTGAATCTGGGAAAGTGAGACTTAGATATACTCTTATATTTAATCTGCAGAGAATACAGAGAATATGGTCATGCGCGTTCTGCACTAGACCGAGGGCATGAAATGTTTCAGTGAGCACTGTTTGTATTTTGGACAGAGCAACTTTGTCACATGGAAAGGATCCACTGTTTGTAGGACATTTAGCAATCCAAGTCCCAGGCCCACTAAATGTCAGTATGGCTTCCAAATTAGTGTAACCACCAGAAAACTCACCTGTATACGTTTTCAAAAACCCTCTGGCAGAAGTATTACCCCTTGTTCAGAGTTGTTGACTCAATTGTTTAGTCAAATTGTCCAGTTTTTCCCCCACTGGCCAAAATAGTTTTAACATTTTAGTAAGCATCTCTGTGTGCCATACACCCACCCCGCTTCCATCAGAGGCCCAGGAAATCACCTCATGAAATCAAAATATATAGGTACCCTGCATAGTCTTTTTAGCCTAGTGATGATCTCCACCATCATCCTCACAGGGATACTGTTGAAAGAGTAGAACCAATGGAAGGACTAGGTCCTTACTGGGATCATAGTGGACCCAACAAAAGCCCCTTCCATGTTGGAAGCTGGAAAGAGTCTGTTATTGGTGAGCGTCCAGCAAGGCACTGGTGCAAAGAAATCTTACTCTATAGTGAGAAAGAAATCCTATGGAATAACTGGATAATATTGTGGATGAACCAATCAATGCATGTTTTGTGGACTGATTATTTTCTTTCAGAAGCTCTGTGACTCATTGCTCATCTCAGAGTTGGGGGTAAAATGATTCTCCCCATAATTCACCCCATGCTTGGGAGGTGAGACTGAGTGCAGTTCACCCAGCTATTAGTAGATGCTTCAGCAGCCTCCCCCTCCCCCTTCACCTACCAGGTACTCCATATCCACAACCAAATTAAATTGTCCATCAATGGAATAAAAGAAAGGGGGACTTGGGAGTAGAAAGAACTGAAGGCAGATTATCTTTGCAGAAAAAAATCCCACTTCATCCACAAAATCGTTGCAATAGAAGGACAAAGGAAATGAATAAATAGATCCCCACTTTTGCTGGTAGAAATATTGCCTATGTATTTTTAATTTTTACAAGATTATCTTGTCTCTATTCTCCCAGGATTTGTAGCCTTTTCCACCATGCCCGAACTGGCACAAAGAATCAAAATGAATTTTGCCCTGAGTCCTGTGATCTCATTCAGATACCCCACAAGCATTTTTACCAGTTTTTTTCTACTTCCAAATTCCATAATCAAGGTAGGCTTCTCCTTTTGCCAAAATTTACCTGAGGATCTCATTTGGGATCATAGATCTTTATTAGCTTTGAATATATTTATTAGCTTTAAATTATTATGAAGTAAAGTAGGAACTCTAAGTAAATAAAATCTAAGACTCCATGAACATGTGCTTGTGAATGTGTGTATTGTGTGTGCCATGGTATCTACAGGTCCCACACAATATCTACTGTACCCAGTCACAGAGCTGAGTACATGCCAAAATCTCAATCTGAGCTGAGTGCTATATTCATAGAGAGTCTTCTCACAAGTTTTCTTGTTCTATTTATTTGGGCAGGTCAATGAATTCACAATGTCCAATTAGAAGACACTCTTCAAGTTATGTATGATCATGGATGTCCTCGTTTAGATGTTAGATAAGCCTAACATGATTTTTTTTTCCATATGGGAGCTTCCTCTAATTTATTAAAGTTACATTCCAAAGCCTCAGTGTCTTACAGCTCATGTATTTATTCAAGTATTTATTGTTATTATTTAAGGGATGAAAGGGTTCTGTAATTGACAATTATAGATTTGAAATTTTATTCACTAAATCATTGTTCTGTATTTTGCTTGTTTTTGTTTTTCCATGAAGGTCATGTACACAAAGAGCATATATTTTTAAAAGGTTGCCCTTTCAATTTGGGGCAATGGTAAAAATGGATTTGGGCTAAAATCAAGTCAAGGGAGACTATTTAGAATATCATAGTAATTCGCTTATAAAAAGATGAGACCCAGATTTGGAGTAGAGTAGTAGGAATGGAAAAAATATTAATGAGCTAACATAAGGAGGAACTTCTATTAGGCCTAATGATTCATTTGATAACAGTTTTATTCTATTGTTTACTGTGAGCACAAGTGAGGTGACATCCCCTTTGCAGGGTTGGTAGTTTTTCTTCAAAATGTGTTGACATCAGTTAATCGTGACCATTACCTCCATTTGGGCAGGGTTGAGTAAACTAATCTGTCAAATTCAGAGGCAGATATATCTATCTATAAATAAACCAGTCTTATACATGTGTTGCTATCTTATAGATCAGAAGTCAACCAAATAATGTCCCTGGGTTATCTTAGTTCACATTCTGTACTGTCAAAATTCCTGCCATTTTAAGTCCTATTCTCTGGATCCCCGCTGCCTTTGACTACCTCCAGAAGCTTATTTTTCCAAGACTTTGAAGTTTTTAGCTATGCTGTCTGTGTGACGTCATCACAACTTCGATGTCCAGTGGCACCTTCTCTTTGGTACTACATTCTGTACTTTACACGGTGACAGCTGACTAATCTAGGACAGTACAAGAAAGCCAATGTGTACGTGAGTAATATGAAAAACCTGCTTTTCCTTTCTAGTCAGTATAATGTTTCACCTTAAGAAAAAAAACTGTCCCATTTCTCTTATCAATAAATGAGGAATAATGGCAATTGCTGATTAGACAGAAAACAGGAAGCTTCATCATGAAGAACTAAATTTGAGGTGAAGATTCCTTACTGCTGACTCCCTGTAAATAACGTTTAATGATCTTCCTCATTTGAAAGTGAATTCCTAAGTCATTTTTCCTGAGCAACTTGGTTTCCTGGACTAAAACAGCAAATAGATCCTCCACTATGATGCATTTCTACAATGAAGGTATTTTCAAGAAGTCTGAACATGAATCTTGAAAAGATAATTGATTTTTATTTTTACAGGCTATGTTTGGTACTAAAGGTTTCTTTTTAGAAGATAAGACCAAGAAGACACCTTCTACCAAAATCTGCAACAATAAAATACTCTGGGTGATATGTAGTGAATTTATGTCCTTATGGGCTGGATACAACAAGAAAAATATGAATGTGGTATGTATAATAATTTTGGAGCCATTTAATGCTTGAAGAAATCCCAGCTTTCCTGTGACTCATTCTTATCCATGTATTACACTATAGTTTGTATGGTCCTTTAAAGGCACCTTTAAAGGCAGATATTTGCTATGCATAGCTGATTAGATATTCCATGGACCTTACATGTAAGGACTATGGAAGGGAAAGGCAGCTGCATCCTTCCATCCCTGGTCAAAGTTAGGAGCGTGGATGTTCCATGATGAGTAATAGATTTCCACCTGTCCACAATCAGCCACAATGTACTACAGTTAACATGTATTTATTGCATTTGAATATGTTTAGTTATAAATGAAATCCTAGAAAAGGATGAAAGCATTGTTCTCATTTCATATGTGCCTTCCTGTATGAGTGACTGTGGTTTCAAATAAAACTCACCACTTAACTTGGAAAAATCTCAGACAATATGGGAAATAGAATCCCCTTTCTATGAAGAAGTAGTAGTCCATTTTAAATCAAATCTTTGTTATTGAGAATTCAAAAAGGAGGAAGAGGTGAGCAATTTCCATTCACAGATTCGTGTGGTTGAATAGTTTTCTCTGCTGTATTCTAATTATCAGCCAATTAGTGTGTTACAGTGAACTCAGTCCCAAGATATCTATTTTCCACAAGCCAGTCCATCCCTATGCTTATAGAAGCTAAATTATGTTAAGTTGAAACTCATGAGGAACCATTGTTCAAAGCCTGTTTTTTTCCAAAAGTACAGATTTTTAAATTTCCCTTGAATGAGTACATTATATTCTAAGACATATAATTACAATTACTCTTTGATCTCTATAATTTTCATCCTTAGAATGTTTACAGAGATTGAAGTACTCTTTGGAAAGAATTGACTTTTAGTTTTATTTTTACTCCCATAAGAGCCTAGCCAGTTTGTAATATTTTTAATATATTCATTTACGAGAAGTGAAAACAGAAACTCAGAGATACTCAATAACTTGACCAAGGTCATAGAGCTGATAATGAACAACATGGGTCTGAAATCCAGGTTTTATACCTCTTGATCTGTGACAGTGCACATATGTGCACATGCACATACCAACGTGCTCTTGCACATAACACCTTCCCTGGTTTCTGAGCTCCTTAATGTCCATCACACCTGATTCTATTTCAAAATAAGTGAATTACCCTGCATATTCAGAGCTGGCGCAGGTTTGCTGTCCAGCAGCCCATCCTACTAGTCAACCTATGGTTCACTCACATTCAAGTTCCTGACATCAATATGGGTTTATTTAGATGATTCTCCCTCATCATTTTCAAAACACCAGTATTGATCATTAATTCCTGCTTTTGAAATGCATGGTTCATTTCATTGGGTGATTGTTGCTGTAACATGGGTTTGATTTCTCTTAGAGTCGAATGGATGTGTATCTATCCCATGCTCCCACTGGATCATCAATACAGAACATATTGCATTTAAAACAGGTAGAGTCCTTGTCGTGGGAAACCACACCGATCCTTACTCTCATTATAGATAAATGGACAGAGTTCACTCTCAGACTCACCCAAGAACTTAGCAACTTGCTTTCAATTTGTCCTTGTTGCCTCCTTCCTGTTTTGATTTCCCTAGATTCACAAAGAAGGTGGGGAGGTTTATAGTGCAGACCAACTAGGTGACATAAATGAATCCCATCTAAAATCAAAACAAATAAAGTAGTCCCTGAGTTTAAGTTAAGAGTTAAATTGAGAGGGCCTCAGAAGAGCTGCAACCTTTCCAGAGAGAGAAAAATCTGGGATTTGACTTTCTTCTACAGAGACTTGATTTTCCATTAGTTTTTCCTGTAAACCAAAGAAGACCATTGTTTCCCTTTCAATAGAAAGGACACAATCTTTCATGATAATAGTAAGATATACATTCTTCTGGTGATCCAGGGGCCTTGTTTTCTTCCCAGTGTTTTTCTCAGATTTGCTGTTGGAACTCATGATTCTTATCCTAAAATTCTTTTTCTAAAACACATTTATTTCAGCTTTACCGATCTGAAGAATTCAGAGCCTATGATTGGGGAAGTGAAGCTGAAAATATGCTTCATTATAATCAGGTAAGCTACTGAGAATGACCCCAGGAGGGGATTTTGAGAAGTTTTAATATGAAATTATTTGAGAGTAAGAAGAATCCTACCTGCTAATTGGTGACATTTATGCTGATGAGAGTTTTATGAAATAAATATCTAATTTTAATCTGCATTCATTTCAGAATTTTTAGGAAATAAAAGGGATACATATAAAGAAAGTAAAATCATTTGTATCCTACCACCCAGAAATAACTGGATGTATTAATGATCTGACATATTTATTCTGTTTTTTTCAGGATCATGTTGGTTTGTACAACTTTTAATCTTGCTTCTTCATTGTAAATTATAGCAAGATAACCAATGTTACTGATAGCTTTTTTTTTCAAAATATATTTTGTAGAGGGAAATACATTTATTCATACATAGCAGAAAGTATGAATTTCATTTTGCGTTAGTTCCTCTTTTTTATTCAATTTCTGAATATTGGTCTCATATTTTACTATCTTTTTGTATAAGAACATTTTAAAGTATTGGGTTTTCCAAATATGCAATAAAATTATCTTGAAATAATAAGTTTCTGATATATATATATATATATATATATATATATATATATATATATATATAATATATATATATATATATTATATATATGTGTGTGTGTGTGTGTGTGTGTGTAATTTTAATGGGGGCATAATAATGGAAATTGTTTCAGAAAAACTTTGACAGATTACATACACATTTTTTAATACCAACAGGGGAAAAAAACTAAGATTCCACATGAAAGTTAAAAAGCTTTATTTAACATTTAAGAATTGGATTATAAGGCATCTTTTTCTATATAACTTTACATATCAAAATTTGTAGACTCATTTAGCACTTCATTTGAAATCTCTCCCTTTACAACCTTTCTATTCTCAGTCAGGGATTGGGCTTCTAAATATGAACTAAATACATTAAATTAAATTTTCCAATGTCTTCCCGGACTATCTTAAAGACTTTTTGCTAGTGCAAACACATATCAATTAAGTTGTTTCTCAGGATCAAAACAATTAGACCAATCACTTTCTGAGCAATGAAATAAATTGTTAGAGGAATAAGATTCTACTAACCTCTTAAGACAATTATAAGAGGTAAACTATATCATTGAAGTCAACTTTATTACATTCCCTAGAGAAACTAGTCTGTACTAGCTTCAGCTTGCTCTCCCTCAAGTCCCCAGCTTGATCTCTGTTCCCACATTATGTTTTATTGAGTGTTAGAGGATCAACCTAGTGCCACGAGTATAGGGCTTTCCCTCCATCTCATTCCCCAATGTTTTCCTCACCTGGAAGAGAACCTGGCATGTCCAGAGCCCTTAATACCTATGTGTTGCGTAAATGAACTTTACCTGCACCCAAATATCTCTGTCCTCCTAATTTTTTCCCTCTTTTCTCTATTAGGAAGATAATCTGCTTCTGTGCCCATTTCCCTATATCTTCTTACCTCCTCTTCCTAAAGTTTTGGTGTGTAAAATTATATGGAAAAATATACCTTGGGATCCAATTCTTACCTCCCTTTCCTCCTGGTTGCTCTTTTTATCTTACATGAACTCCTGTCCTTTATGAAAACGAGCAAACAAACCTTCTCTTAACCTGTCAATTCTATCTAGTTGTCATCATTCCTTCACTGTTTCTGTTAACATTTTTCAATATTCAAGAGAGCGTCTTTCCCTCTTTGGCTCACTCCTTAACCTTGGAAAATGTAGTTTCATCCTTTATCTTTCTATTATAAGTACTCTATTAAGTCACTCTCAGCTTTTAATTGCCATCCATCTCATTCACCAGTGTTTTGTTTTGTTTTCATTTTGAGGCACTAAGTTACCTAGACTAGCCTCAAATTTGTGATCTTCCTTTGTCAGCCTCCCAAATCACTGGCATTACGGTTATATACTACGGTGACTGGTGGACTCCTCTTTTTTGAAGCCCCCAGTTAGAAACAATTTCCTCTTTCTTTTCACTTCCATTGCCTTTCAGGGGTGTTTTATGGCATGCAGCATACACTACTTTACATACAGATGTTTGTTTAGCTGCCGTGTCTTTCTTGCTCCTCTGCGCTCCTTGAAGGTAGGGACAGTAGAGTATCTTCTTACCTCCCTCATTGCCTCACAGAGCTATGATCATTGGCAGACACTCCTTTAGCAGCCTTCCCATTTATTGGAGTTCAGCTGCTGCTATGAGGCGCCTCCTCTCATGAATGCCTTTTCTTTCTCTTTCACAGAGTCGTCCTCCACTGTATGACTTGACTGCCATGAAAGTGCCCACTGCTATTTGGGCTGGTGGACATGACATGCTTATAACGCCAAAGGACATTGACAGGATACTCCCCCAAATTAGGAATCTTCGTTACTACAAACTATTGCCAGAGTGGAACCACTTTGATTTCATCTGGGGCCTCGATGCCCCGCAACGGGTGTACAATAAGATCATAGCTTTGATGAAAGAATATCTCTAAATCTAATGCATCTACTTTTCAGTTCAAAATTTCTTCTAAGCCCCCAAGAAGCCTTAGGAGAAATACTAATGAACAGTGAGATCGCCCCCACCACCCTTGCTGCTATTGCCAAGGTGTTCCCTTATCTGGGCATCCCAACTAGGGATTACTTAAACTGCGCCACTCTTTTCTTTAAGAGGTGTTTGCACCTGAAATCTCAGGATCCTACCCTCTTAGACAGGACTAAGGTCTCTTTTTAATCCAAGATGATCTAGTAAGCACGTCTCTATTAAATGTACAATTGAGAGACTAGGTGAAAAGGAGTTTCTTTGCCCTACACTTCATGCAAACAATAACTCACCACCTCCCTATACCCTTTTTCAATGGATTAAATGGAAGCAGAGAAGCATTGGCTGGAGAGAAAGTCTTCATCAGGAAAGCCATTTAGGAATATATCTGTGGCTGTGACCTTATGGTTTTCCTGAAGCCACAATTGGGCCAATAGTCATTATAGTCGTCATCTATACACAAGTCCTGAAATAAATTGGCCCATATCAATAAGCCTGATGGAAATGGCAGAATGAAAAACTAATAAAATTTAAGTTTTCCAGGAGCTTGTTATACTGTAACAAGCTAGAAGGGAAAAGACTGAGATAAGCTGAATGATTAATTACTAAACTTATTCACTATAGGCCATTGCCTCTGAAACAAAATCAAACTAATACATTAGTCTTATAATAGTGTGTTAGAGATCCCTGGCAGAAGACAAATCTTAGAAATGATTTGCTCTAAGGAGAAACTAGGCTGATCAGCTACTATGTCTTCAGGATCAAAATGGAATTTATACTAATTTATTTGTAAATAGCATTCATACTGGGGCTGGGTTGTGGTTCAGAGGTAGAGCATTGGCCTACCATGTGTGAGGCACTGGGTTCGATCCTTAGCACCACATAAAAATAAAATAAAGATAATGTGTCTACCTATAACTAAAAAATAAATTTTAAAAAATTGAATTTATATTGCACAATTTATAACATTGAAAGCAGCTCCCAGAAAGCCTGATTTAGAATGAGCAAAGGAAACTCACAGACAGCTCCATAATAGTCTCTATAAAAGGCTGGACACTGGTTCCAGAATTTTATAGAAAGCTCAGTGTGTAGCATGAAGTTTTACTGTTAGTTCCTGTAATCCTGAATGATGTGAACTCAAGAGTCTTTACCAGTAGTGAAGATGTAACTCAGAACTATTCATGTTCCTTAGGAAATCATTAAAAAAAGTGATACATATTCATACTCTTGGTAATTTATTTTTACTTAAAACAAGAAAATGTAAATTAGCACACTAATTAATGTTTACTTACAGGACCAAGGGCTTTCTATTATTGGGTACAACATAATTTATTCTTCAATGAATAATCTATTATTCATCATTCTTAGTTTTTAGTTTTAGAGTTTTTAAAATGTGGTGAAAATTAATACCACTTGAGAATCAATTTTAAGTGAAAATCTATATTTTTTAAATCTTTATGTTGATAACTATCTTGGTCATAATTTTTTACAACTTTTAAAATCTAGATTTTTAAAGAATATATAGTAATTATCATGCAAGCAATATATTTGTCATTGCATCAAAATTGATAAAATAATTTAAATGCTATAATAAATAAAGTAGGCATACATAGAGAACTCTTAGTATGTATATGAGTTGATAGGAAGCAATAGGAAGGTGTGACTATTCCAGATTAGCCTGCTAATAGCTATGAACATTTAAGTGGCATTGAACATTAGCTAATATTGTTTACCGAAATACAGGACATTGGTTAACAAAGGAATCCATTAAGTGGAGATTAGTTGAGAGACCTCTTGTTACAACAATGCTGAGAAACAACCAACCATGAACCACTCCCAAATTTGAGTCCAGTGTGGGCAATTGAGCAAGATCCTATCTAAAAATAAATAAATAAATAAATAAAATAAAATAAAATAAAAAGAGCTGGGGATATAGTTCAGGGGAAAAACACCTCTGGGTTCAAACTCTAGAAACAAAAACAAAGCAATGATTAAGAGAGTAAAAATTCCTTATCCCTTTTGATTAACTTAATCTTGAAGTCGATTTTATTCAATATGAGGATGGCCACCCCTGCTTGCTTACGAGGACTGTGTGCGTGGTATATTTTTTCCCAACCTTTCACCTTCAGCCTGTGTATGTCTTTTCCAATCAGATGTGTCTCCTGGAGGCAGCATATTGTTGGATTTGTTTTTTTAATCCATGTTACCAGCCTATGTCGCTTTATTGGAGAGTTTAAGCCATTAACGTTTAGAGTTACTATTGATATATGGTTTGTACTTCTAGCCATGTTTGATTGTTTATCTTTTTTTTTTTAAATTTAGTTTGTTTCTCCATGATTAGCTTTCCCCCCGCCCTCTGTCTTTACAGAGGCACTTCCCACTGATGGTTTTGGTTATTGTTTTTCATTTCTTCCTCGTGTAGTGTTTTGCTCAAGATGCTTTGCAATGCTGGTTTTCTGGCTGAAAATTCTTTTAGCTTTTGTTTATCATGAAAGATTTTTATTTCATTGTCGTACCAGAAGCTTAATTTTGCTGGATACAGAATTCTTGGTTGGCATCCATTGTCTTTCAGTGTTTGAAATACGTTGTTCCAGGATCTTCTTGCTTTCAGCATCTGTGATGAAAAATCCGTTGTTAACCTTATTGGTTTACCCCTGAATGTAATCTGCCTCCTTTCTCTTGTAGCTTTTAATATTTTCTCTTTGTTCTGCATATTGGATATCTTCATAACAATGTGTCTTGGCGTTGGTCTACTGTGATTTTGTATGCTCGGTGTCCTGTATGCATTGACAATTTGTATATCCGTTTCCTTTTTTATTTCTGGAAAGTTTTCTATAATTATTTCATTCAGCAGGTTGCTCATTCCCTTGGTTTGAACCCCTATACCTTCCTCTATCCCGATGACTCTTAAGATTGTCTTTTTTTTATGTTATCCCATATCTCTTGGATGTTTTTCTCGTGATTTTTTACCAGCCTTTCTGAGTTGGCTAGACTCTTTTCAAGATGATATATTTTGTCTTCATTATCTGATGTTCTGGCTTCTGCTTGCTCCACTCAAAGACCCAGAATAGCAAAAGCAACTGTAAGCAGGAAGTGTGAATCAGGCGGTATAGCGATACCAGATTTCAAACTATATTACAGAGCAATAGTAACAAAAACAGCATGGTACTGGTACCGAAACAGGCGGGTGGACCAATGGTACGGAATAGAGGACACAGAGACTAATCCACAAAGTTACAACTATCTTATATTTGATAAAGGGGCTAAAAGCATGCAATGGAGGAAGGATAGCATCTTCAACAAATGGTGCTGGGAAAACTGGAAATCCATATGCAACAAAATGAAACTGAATCCCCTCCTCTTGCCATGCACAAAAGTTAACTCAAAATGGATCAGGAGCTTGATATCAAATCAGAGACAAGGCGTCTGATAGAAGAAAAAGTTGGCTCCGATCTACATATTGTGGGGTCGGGCTCCAAATTCCTTAATAGGACACCCATAGCACAAGAGTTAATAACAAGAATCAACAAATGGGACTTACTTAAACTAAAAAGTTTTTTCTCAGCAAGAGAAACAATAAGAGAGGTAAATAGGGAGCCTACATCCTGGGAACAAATTTTTACTCCTCACACTTCAGATAGAGCCCTAATATCCAGAGTATACAAAGAACTCAAACAATTAAACAATAAGGTAACAAATAACCCAATCAACAAATGGGCCAAGGACCTGAACAGACACTTCTCAGAGGAGGACATACAATCAATCAACAAGTACATGAAAAAATGCTCACCATCTCTAGCAGTCAGAGAAATGCAAATCAAAACCACCCTAAGATACCATCTCACCCCAGTAAGAGTGGCAGCCATTATGAAGTCAAACAACAACAAGTGCTGGCAAGGATGTGGGGAAAAGGGTACTCTTGTACATTGCTGGTGGGACTGCAAATTGGTGCGGCCAATTTGGAAAGCAGTATGGAGATTCCTAGGAAATCTGGGAATGGAACCACCATTTGACCCAGCTATTGCCCTTCTCGGACTATTCCCTGAAGACCTTAAAAGAGCGTACTACAGGGATACTGCCAAATCGATGTTCATAGCAGCACAATTCACAATAGCTAGACTGTGGAACCAACCCAGATGCCCTTCAATAGATGAATGGATAAAAAAAATGTGGCACTTATACACAATGGAGTATTATGCAGCACTAAAAAATGACAAAATCATGGAATTTACAGAGAAATGGATGGCACTAGAGCAGATTATGCTAAGTGAAGCTAGCCAATCCCTAAAAACAAATGCCAAATGTCTTCTTTGATATAATGAGAGCAACTAAGAACAGAGCAGGGAGGAAGATCAGGAGGAAAAGATTAACATTAAACAGAGACATGAGGTGGGAGGGAAAGGGAGAGAAAAGGGAAATTGCATGGAAATGGAAGGAGACCCTCATTGTTATACAAAATTACATATAAGAAGTTGTGAGGGGAATGGGGAAAAAAACAAGGAGAGAAATGAATTACAGTAGATGGGGTAGAGAAAGAAGATGGGAGGGGAGGGGAGGGGGGATAATAGAAGATAGGAAAGGTAGCAGAATACAACAGTTACTAATATGGCATTATGTAAAAATGTGGATGTATAACCGATGTGATTCTGCAATCTGTATTTGGGGTAAAAATGGGAGTTCATAACCCACTTGAATCTAATGTATGAAATATGATATATCAAGAGCTTTGTAATGTTTTGAATAACCAATTTAAAAAAAAAAGAAAAAAAAATTTAAAAAAAAGAAAAGAAAAATGAGATCTTATACTACAAAAAAAAAGAGAGTAAAAATTCAACCCATAGAATGGAATTAACATATATATTCAGAAAACACATATTTAGAATATATAAATACTTTATTTAAATTGATTTTTTAAATGAAAACAGAATAGAAAATGGAAACATTTGCACAATCATATCAAAGGGAGCACATACTCATGGACAAAGTACTAAACTTTATTATTATTAGTGTTAAACTAAATTATAATTTCTTAATAATTAGGAAAATGCAAAATTTACACTACAAAGTAATATTATCAGAATTGCTAAAATTACAACAACCAAGAAGCATAAATGGGTACAAACACTTTCGATTCTATCTTTGGTAGCAGTATCTACTTCAACTGAACAGATCCATGTTGCAAGACCTTGTAATTCCATTTCTATGGTCATATGCAGCAGAAATACAGATGAATGGCTCACCAAAATATTTGTACCAAAGTATGAATAGCATCTTAATCATAATTGTCCCCAACTCAAAACAACCCAGATGTGTAGCAATATGAAAATCAATGAATAAAAAGATGGTATCATCATACATTGGCCTATAAAAATCAATAAGGAAGAATTATTCAAAACCTAAAATAAACCTTGCAAGCACAGTAAAGAAAGAGAGACACAAAAGAATACATATTTTATTATACATTTTAATATAATTACATGTTAATGCTACAAGCCTCAAAGTGGTTACCTTCTGGGGAGAATCAGGACTTGGAGGGAATATATGAAGGCTTCTGGAGGCCAGAAAATGTCCTAATATTGTGCTTACATCCAAGTGCTTTTATTTTGTGAAAATTTATCCAGCTATACATTTATAATATATGAATGTGTTCTATTGTGCTTGATATAGTAAATAAAAGTATATTTCTTTATAAAACACTCGCTTTCTGTTCTAAATTAATAGATTAAAAAGTACAGAAGAAAAGGAGACTGTTATCAATACCACTTGTTCACATGCTATCTCTGCACATGGTAGCAAATCTATCAACTCTCATAGGTCTGAGTAATAATAACATGTTCTTTGCTAAGGACTCTACATGAAATATCTGATTTAAAACTTATAACCATATGAAATAGGTATCATGGTTTTCTTTATTTTATAGATGAGAAATTTGAGGCAAAGAATTTGTCTGAGACCACACAAGTGAAGGATCATTGTTTTAGCAACGGGAGTCTGACACCCTAAAAGCTACACTACGGCATGTAATAGTTTACATGTATACATGTTGTATGGTATAGAAATGACAATGGGACACCATGCTGAAGGTAATACTTATATTACCTTGGACCAAAATCCCTTGGAAAATTAAAGCAAGAGAGATTGGGGAAGTGATTTTCTTTACAAACTCTAAACATCATGTTTTGAGATTCCTGGGATATTGCTAGTGACATCAATTATACCATATTTAATTTTTTTTTCTGAAATATCAAGATTGCTTCCAAGTCGGCACAGTCTAGTAATCTTTCATCAATGAGCAATGGCCTAGACTAGCT